CTCGATCTATTTTCATAAAATATTATTCAATAACGGTTTATGAAAACAAGTAAAATAAATCTGTACGAGACTGAAGTGTTTTCATTGTCATGAATCAGGCACTGTTTCGATTGTTTGTTAACACATTAGTGTTTCTGTTTTGTCGGAGTATGGAGATACAGATGTTTTGGTGTGTGTCACAAACGTTTTTCCTGATAGTGTTCCCCTCTGCGGTTCGCTTGTCACTCATTTTGATTCGTATATTAGCTAAAATTTCCATTCCATCTTTGTCAAAAGTTTTGAAGAAAACCTGTGAAACGCACATCAAAACGTCAATATCCGCCTATTCTTCAGAAGTTATTTTGTTACCGCAGAAGATTAAATACGACTTCGCATGCCGCTGTCATTAAGATGTGCTTAAAAACTTACTGCGTCTTTCTCCTGCTATTAGAAAGCGATCCTTTCATGATTTTTGAGCACCCGCTGTGCTATACGTATTTTTCTATGAACTAATGCAGTTCCATAAATGATGTTTCAGAGGCCGAAGCTCTTTTTGTATTTTCGTCGAGCAGAAAAAATTGGTTGCCATTCTAACTATTCCAGGGGAAACTTTGTTGATTAGTCTGACAACAGACGGATCATCTAAGTCTTTTTTCTTAGTGAGAAACCTCCATCACGGACTGCGTAAAATTCTGGGTGAATTCAATGAGTAGCCTGGCGCTGTAATTTCAAAGTCTTAAGTAGATCGGCGCGTTGTGCAGTCGTTTGGCATGATGCACTGTACTTTGTTCCCGTTGTCACTGGATTATAAGACTTGTTCTTCTTCAGCTGGCTTTTTCGAAGAAGTGTTCACAGCAGCCTGTGCAGGAATTCGAGCAGATTTGGCGAGTTTGCTATTTATCTGTTAACGTTTTTGTACTATTTATTTTCAAATTTTATATTTTTGGGCTTTCTTTCGCGATGTAAAATGTGGATTTTACTTTCGAGTTGTGATTATTTTATAAAATTTTCTGTTTCTCTTTTGATGTCTGTTTTCAGTTTTGGTCATATCACATTTCTGTCTTGTCTTTAAGAGCTAAACGTTGTTTGTTTTTTGAAGCAACAGTATTCTACATTTTTATTATTCATGTGATGGTCGTTTATTCGATGTTGTGCCGCAACGTAGTGAAATCACTTGCATATTTATAATGAAGTTAAATTGGTGGCAGCTAATGCAGTTCCTGCTCGCTTTTGATATACGTTAAAATTTATAATGAACGCTCATCCGATTTCAAATTCAAAACTATTTTCGAGAGCTGCTCCTTCATGAGATCGAGAAATCACAACTGCGATGCTTTGGAATGTAGTTATGATGATGAAGGCAGGAAACAACCTAACTAACCGCTAACCGAAATTTCTCCGAGCTACATCGCACGTGACGAAAAAGCAGAACCAAGCGCTGTGTAGATTATGTATTTCGAAAATCTGCCACTGTCTATTGTACCGAGCCCGTGTCACTGAAAATCTCAAACTATACGTCCTGCGACCAAAACGAAGAGCTGGCTGTTGAAATAATGACAATTGGCTATAGTTAATTCATTATCATTATCAGCCTGCATCGTTCATTAGTAGATAAAGGCCTCTCCAAGACATTGTTACACACGTTTCTTTTACGCCATTTTTTATCCACCTTGGTATAGCGAACTTCTTCAGTTCGCCCTGCCGTCGATTTGCAAATTTTCCTAGGGCCGTTCTTTCTCCCTTGGAATTCAATGTAATGTTTATCTGATCGACCGATGGCCGGTTCTTCTGTCAACGTTTTTCATTGCTACTATAAATTCTTCATTCGAGCAATAATATAGCAGATTCTTTGATCTTACCCTTTCATTCGTTGTCTTATGCTTTCTTGTTATTCCCAGAAGGCACCTGCCCTTTGCGTAATCTGCAGTTTATAAATATCTTGCAGCCTAGCATCGGCGTTTTGTATCCCAAATTTAGCATTGGAGAACATGCTGATTGAATACTTTCCGTTTCAACCACAAAGGCCGTTCCCGCAAATAACATTTTCTACAACCTTCCAAAAGTGCTGCATCCCATGTTTGTTAATTTCACATAGTCCGTTGTACAGATCATCTGCTCGAGATAGACGTTTATCCACAACTCTTTAATCCAAAATCTGTCTTCAACAAACCGCACGATCATTTCATTCATCTTCCCTGGTCGCTTCTTTCGGGTCGCGGAGGCACACGCGTCAGACAGCGCTTCCAGTGTTCCTGATCCTTTGCCAGAGTCCGAGCTTCGGCAGAAGAGAGCTGGAGTCTGCAACAATTTCCTTCCATATATTTGCACCA